AGCACTGAACACTAAACATGTTCTTCCCTTTATTAACATGGTTAAAAACGAAGTTTAAATTCTTTTATGGAGGAGTATGATATATATATTTGTGTCTAAAACCTGTTAATACGCATATATAAGAAAAACTATATTTATAATGAAATTAAGAACATAACATTATGTACGTACTAGTATGTTATACTGTCAATTATATATATATATATATATACATATATATATCGGCGGTTCAAGGTTAGGCTTGGTCCTGTAAAAAATAATTTTTAAAATTAATATAATTAACTATATTAACAATTAACAATATAACTTGATTTGAAATCGTAAATAATCTAGATGATCATACGATTCATACGCTATAATATTTTGAATTTTTATTTTCTATGCCCGTAGTTGTAGTCATATGTAATATTTCAATATTATAGGCATTGGTGATATTATGTTGAGTGGAGTGTGAACCCAATCTAGTTTCCTCAGAATACAAAAATCAATACCAGGGATCAATATACATTTCACATTTTAAAAGATGTTAAAAATTAATTTTAAACAAAAATGTCTTCTTATTAGTTAGTTTCATTGATTTTTAAAATAATAATAAAAATAATATTTGAATTTATTTATACATTATTGTAACTATTAAATTTTTCTAATTACACGCTAAACGGCTAAACGTAACKTTACCATCTTTTAGCCCTACCTGTTTTTGTACCACCACCATATTATATTAAGTCCAATTTTATTGTCCTGTGTATTTATAAAGACACAATTCATTTTATTTTAGCAATAATTATTTCATTTATATTATATTATTACAATATTACACACTCACGGCGTTGTGGATAGGCTATTCAAGTACAGCATGGACTATAACTACTAAACTCTTAAAATATATATAGTTACGTGCTTATATATTATAAACGACGACTGATAAATTTCATCTAAAGTTATTTATTTGACGAGTATTTACCTGTACGAAATCTGCAAAATGATGCTATTTGCTTTGTATATGCGAATAGGTATATTCAATAATAACTCACAGAACAACATATCGACGTATTTTTGTTATAACGCCTGTTGCTGGATTCTTGATTTGTGCACTAATAAATAAAAATGTTCAAAGTATTAATTTGGTCATGCAATTACATGTAGGTACCTATTAAAAATGTAAATATTTTGACATTTCCTATATAGATTTAGAGAAAGTTAAAAATGACGGTGAACAGTTATCATGCGCCGAATTATTGATTAAGTATGTAAAAAATTATTTGTCGTTATTATAGCATACTTTAGATTTGGTTAAGTATCAAATCTCAAACTATAATTTAATACTTTCTATAGTAGGTAACTATTTATACAAACTATTCACTAGTCACTACTAAATAA